CATTTTGTCTGACATTACGTCTCGCGTCTCTTACTCAACAGTGTGGATGAGAGTCAAGTTGCGTCCCTCTGACCTTCTCTGCTTCATTTGTCTGTTTGGATGTTCATTCAATACGTTCAACCACCCGTCTGTGTTTTAAATGTTTCCTAAAAGTTTTAATGTCCTGTTTCATTATGATGCACTTGGCTCCATCTCTTATTCTCTGGCTGTTCTGAGCGAAGGGGTTTTACTTTGTTTTGTTTAATTCGTGTTATGTTTTTCAAGGCGGGGATAGATGAGTGCGGGGGAGCGAGCTTCGCACATTCCTCCCTCTGAGTGTGGGGGGTATGGGGGGGATATTAACCGATCAGCTCCTCAGACACTGAGCCCTGTCCTCCCTTTTGATTTCAAGACCAAAACACTGGTCTTTAGACTGTAGACTGACATCTGTAGCACACTCTGAACATTATTAAAAGTCTGACATGGTCCACTCAGTGCTGGCCTTTAGATATAATTATGCCATTAATTATTCTCTGATCTAATTATGGTTTATAAAGGAGAGTGTTGCTGCTTGTTCACTCTGCAAGCAGCCTGGGTAATGGATCGCTTTGTTCTGCAAGAAGAGTCGATTAGATTGATGCAGTGATAGGCAGCCACAGTGTTACAAGACATTGTTAATTTGCCCCTTAACATGATGCTTTGTCTTTAAATGTTAAAATAACAATTTGGCACTTTGGGAAATGTGCTAATTTACTTTCTTGCCCTCATAGCATAGCCTAAAAACTGGAAATGGGGAACTGGCTCATCTTTTTCTGTACGGAGGTAGTAAACCCACAAATTAACATGTTTCTTTAGATTTTATTAATGTAGGACAGAGCCAGGCAAGATGTTTCCCACTTTACAGTCTTTTTTTTTTGCTAAGCTGTTTGTAGCTCATATGTAATGTACAGATATAAGAGTGGTGTACATCTTCTCATCTAGCTGTTGTAATAGCTACACACCTTTAAAATTATTGTTAAATGGCATTTACTGACTGTCAGCAACTTTTGCCTTTACTGATCAGAAATGTGCAGCAGTACAGGTGACAACAGCAGTTGTACATTATGTTCTGATCTATGGGAAATAAACAGATGTGTAATGAATTGCTGTTGCTCGCAGTGTGAATACATGTGGTTTGTGGTGTGAGTCTGCTGTCTAAACAGTTTAGTGTTTATCACAAAAAAAAGTTAAACTAGCTAGTGGAGGAGGGAAGTGTCTGGTGACCTGGTGAGTGGAGTTGTGGCTGGGGGTGAACAGCAGTGGTCACTGCTCTCTCTCTCTCTTCTCACAGTCATGTTAAAGATCTGTGGAAACCAAGAAGCTGAGCGTCTCCATTAACGGGACAGTGGAAACTGCTCTTCTTGACATTTGCTTAAAGGGAGGGGTGGGCAGGGCATGAGTCTATCCCTGAAGTAACAACTGCTCCTTCTGGCTGCCATTCAAACAGAAGCCTCTCTGCCTTCAAGCTTAGTTTGTTTTTGTTTTTTTTACTTTTCTATCTTTACTTCATTCTGCTGCTCTAACAGCTTCCTCTGTATGTTTTTGTTTTTGTGTGTGGCTGTGACTGGTACTTTACAGAAGCAGAAAAACATTGCAGGAGCACTGGCTTTCTGGATGGCCAACGCCTCCGAGCTGCTCAACTTCATCAAGCAGGACCGAGACCTGAGTCGCATCACGCTGGACGCCCAGGACATCCTCGCCCATCTTGTCCAGATGGCTTTCAAGTCAGTCTGACTTTTTATGTGACTGGAATACTATATCATGGAAGCTTTACAAATGTATTCCAGATGGGGTTAGTTCTGTGTGGAAGACAAGATTTTACTGAATTGAGTTTCATCAAACTAGTTGGAACCCATCTGTAGTCGGAAGACAAAAACCTAGAACATCGCCACACATTGCTGTCTTGTTCCCATTCCCTTTTCTTCTGCTTTATTCTACATGGACCTTAAAACATTTTCACCATAAACCATACACCTTGGGTAAAGGTGAGGGTGTGAGCACACCTATATACAGTGGCTTTTTTTTTGGGTGCAGTTTGTCTTTAACAAGGTGTGTTGTGTGGGTGCAGGTACCTGGTCCACTGTCTCCAGGCTGATCTCAACAACTACATGCCTGCCTTCCTGGATGACCCCGAGGAACATAATCCACAGAGGCCCAAGATAGGTAATTTAAAAGCCAAGAGTTTACCCTGAATATCATATCGTTCTGCATATTGGTGGCTTTACACAGCTACACTCGAGCTTTGATTCCTGGCCCCCAGACTTCAACAGAGACAAAGAGCTGTTCTCATTTTTGTCTTTCTCTTCAGAGGATGTCCTGCACACCCTGACGGGGGCAATGTCTTTGCTGCGGCGGTGTCGAGTCAACGCCGCCCTGACCATCCAGCTCTTCTCGCAGCTCTTCCACTTCATCAACATGTGGCTGTTCAACAAGCTGGTGACAGACATGGAGTCGGGGCTGTGCTGTCACTACTGGGGGGCCATTCTTCGGCAGCAGCTCAGCCACATCGAGGCCTGGGCTGAGAAACAGGGTCTGGAGCTGGCTGCCGACTGCCACCTCAGTCGAATTGTTCAGGTAGGAGGACAGGACAAACAGATGGGGGCAGAGTTTCTCTGGGCTTTGTTGTTACATCAGAAAGGCTGTGAGACTTTTGTTTTATTTGACTTTTTCATTTGCTTAAAGCTTTGTAATTTCTGTTGTTCAGTCAACTATTTCAACTACAAGTGGATATTGTCAGTGTTTTACTTTATTTACTGTTTAAGATACCTTTGTCTTCCATCTGTGCAAGTATTAACCACTCATGATAACAGTAAAGAAACAGTAAAGACTTCCACACTATCACCTGTAAACTTGTCGTAAATGCTGTGCTCTGTTTCTCAGATGTATTCAACATTTGTGGGTAATGAACAGATAAAATTAGGAAAAAAATCCTTATGATGTAGAAGTGTTTGAGATTTCAGCTTCCAAGGTCTCGCACCCCTGCAGGATTGTGCGTGTGCGTCATTTGACTCTATTTATTATTTCTGATTACTGTTAAAATTAAAGTGATGTGAGGAAACAACTATCACAACACAGCCTATCCTACTTCACACCAGTGAGAAGAAAACTGTCTCTGTTAGAAATCTTTCTTTAGTGCGACCATTAAGAAGTAAGAACCCAGGTCACTGTAATGTTTTTGTCTTCTAGGCCACCACCCTGCTGACCATGGACAAATATGCCATGCAGGATGTGCAGAACATCCATAACACCTGCTTCAAGCTCAACTCCCTGCAGCTCCACGCCCTCATGACCAACTACCACTGTGCTCCTGACGAGCCTTACATCCCGCCTGTAAGTTGAGCACAAACATGCACAAACTAAAGACGGTATGATGAGCACACTGATAAGGTCAGCCTTAGGTCATAGGTCAGCTGTCATTAATATTAAAATAGGCCTTACTCTTATAACATTTTCTGAAGCTGTACTGTAGATTTAATGAACCTGAGTACGTTTCTTCTGGTGCGTGTGTAGGAGCTGATAGAGCACGTGGTGGCAGTGGCGGAAAACACAGCAGATGAGCTGGCGAGGAGTGATGGGAGAGACGTTCAGCTGGAGGAGGACCCAGACCTCCAGTTGCCCTTCCTCCTCCCTGAGGACGGCTACTCCTGTGACGTGGTGCGCAGCCTCCCCAACGGCCTGCAGGACTTCCTGGATCCACTTCTGCAGAGAGGTAAAGTTACCGCTAAGGATGCTAATGTTTAAGGTAAAAATGAAATCTGGTGAAGATGAATCATCTTTTTTTTTGCCTATGTAAAAGTACAACTTAGCTTAGATTGCTGAGATTTGGCTATTGAAAAGTTGATGAAGCTCTTGTGCAAACATTTATTTAACTTAATGTTAAATAATGTTCTGCTTTTCTGTGTAAGCTGAATTATCTTTGCCTTCTGACGGTCAGTCAACAATGCCCAACTTGTTTATATGCATCATATTGCGAGGACTGAATTTTTTGTGACTTTACAGTTGTTATTCTGAGGAAAGAGAAGCTTGCTCAGAAGAATATGACTTGCTGTGACACAGTATGTTTGTGTTGTCTGTGCCAGGGTTTTGCCAATTAGTACCACACCCTCGTTCACCTGGCACGTGGACCGTCCACTTTGAAGGAGCTGACTGTGACACCCACTTCTCTACCGCTGACAACTCTGAGATGGTAGGATATTAACACACGGTCACACTCTTACCTGCCCTTATGTGTGTGTCTGGTGCCGGCTCTTAACTAATCTTAATGTCGAGAGAATTTCAGGGTTCCAGTGAATTTCTGAAAAGAGCTTAAAATAAACGGGTGCTTCTGTAACATGTCCCATCTCATATTGGTTCAACCATGTCGTAACACATGGAAGTACAAGAGGTGTCAACAGGGATTCCTGACATATTTTAAAAAATTGACAAGGTTGATTAGCAGCAAAGAATTAGGAACTAAATGTAGCTGTGAGGCAGGAAAATTAAGTAGCCCCATGTGCAACCAGCTAGCATGAATTGTGTTAGCAAAAGTCAGGCATCAGACTTTCTTCAGTTGGTGTAATCATACTTTTCTTGCTCTGCTTGTTTTTCCACCATACTGAATAATTCAGTGCAAATTATATTGGATTTAAAAGGAATTGGAAATGGGCTCCAGTAGTCAACACATGAGTTTCCAGGTAAATTTCAGACTAAAAAAGGTAAAATTCCTGGACAGAATCTGAGCTGTAGACAATCTGACGGCACAACTGACATAGTTTGACTATTTTTAGAAAAGTTTAAACCTGGAAGTAGCTTTGATGTGGGCCCAGAGGTTTGTCTGCCTGTGTGTGTGTGTGTGTGTGTGTGTGTGTGTGTGCGCGCCTGTGTGTGTGTGTGTAGGAGTGTGTATGCACACCTCTTTATTACATTGTGTGGGCAAATTCTTTTTCAAATCCATTGTTTTGTGCACACTTTAATCAGTCCTCACAACTTTAAAGGGAAGTTTGAAGGTTAAGGATTTGGTTAGGCTTTTATTTTTTATAGTTAAGGGAAGAGTGAGGGGCTAGGGATTTCATTTTGTCAACGAGTGTCCTCACAACTATAGTACGACATGCCTGCGCGTGTGGTCTCCAGGTTGGAAGGCACTCATTACAGTGACTTTAGAAGGAGCAATTTACTTTTCATAACAGCCTTCACAGACACACATATATACACACACTCAATTTAATCAACACCAATCACAGTGCAGAAGTTAGTTAGCAAGCAGGGAGCAGTAAATGATAGACCTCTTTTCAGTGCAACAAACACACACAGGCACAGCCACTTCCTCTGTAATTGGTCTGTTTATCCCTGCTCTGCTTCATGACTGTAGTCTCGACATAATGCAGGCGTCTCTCTCAAGCGCACACACACTTTGATGAATGGTGTGTGTTCAGCCAGATTAGAGGGAGTGAGGCCTGGTGCAGCTCTTGTGGCATCATCACAAGTTCTGTCCTGCATCCGCTTCAATACTGTGGATATATTTGGGATTTGATCAATATTACACATGGAATTTTTTCTTTTTGGAACTTCTAGATCTAGTACATACATAAACACAAACAAGTGACAGACGCGCACCATAAAATTTCAAAGTTGCAACATTAGCAAATAAATATAGCACGTGTCAAACACCGGGGCAATTCCATGTGCTTTTCACAAGCCGATGTGAGTATCGTCCGTGTAGCTGTGATAAGCAGCATCATGTATGTGCTGATCTAAAGGGAGCATGTGCAGGCTGAACAGCAGCCCTTTAATCAGACCCTGGGAAACTCCACCTGTCGTGGTGATCTGCTCAGAATTCTGGTTTGATCGTCAAGTTGGTTAGAGCTGGGCTGTCACTGTAGTGTAGCTGCCTCTGTGCAGTAATGGTTTTTTAGTGTAATTGTTGTGTGGTTGTCGTTTTGTTCGGCTCTGTGTGTTTCTGCAGATTGCGGAGTAATCAATGTGCTCTCTGCATTTACACAAGTGCTGTGCAGACACACACAATGACTGATACCAGCACACAAACACAGGCAGAACGATGTAGACATACCTTTGTTTGACATGAGCTTATTTATTTTGAAGGATCCTTTGTCAGAATATTTTTTCATGATGTGGGAAAACTTGGTAGCCGTCTTTGTCTCACTCTCCCCACCCAGTCTCTCAGCTCTGCTGTGGATGTAGGCGTGTGTGTGTGAGGCTAGCCATGATGTGGTTTTCATTCTTGACTTCATTCCAGTGACCACAGGTTCCTCTGTGGTCTTCCCCTTTCCCCTTTATGCCTCCTTCATCCCTTCCCTCCCTTTTCTCATCCCTCCCTCTTTTTTACTCCACGGTCTCATTTTCCTCTGTGATGTTTCAGAGGCAAACACACTAGACGACAATCGTAGTTTCCCTGAGGCTGTTGCAGACCCATCAGAGAGGTGTCATCCTCACTCACAGTTTGCCTTTCCTGTCCATCTCTCTTTTCAGCCAATGAGGAAGGAGCCGGAGGTTGTCACGGTAACCCTTAAGAAGCACAACGGCATGGGCCTCAGCATTGTGGCCGCCAAGGTAGGAAACTGCACCTGGAGGAGTGTTTGTGTCTGTGGCTGTTTGTGTGTGAAGTAAGAAAACTTCAGTTTCAAGGCAGAAGTCATAATATATATATATATTTTTTTTTATCCAGAACAGTGTGGGCAAGTATTTTTGAGAGGAAATCCAAAAATAACCTCGGCTGTCGAGAATGTGTTTGTTGGATTTGCGCGTGCGTGTGGCTGAGACGTACATTACAGACAGAAAAGGCTGCTGTTTTAAACAGACCGTGTTCACTGTTGAGTCTCTCAGCACTGCACAGACTAAACAACTACACTGCAGAGAAACTTCTGGAGGCGTCCCAGGCAAAAACTGTGGTCTGTTTCGTTTGCTCTGCTGTAGAGGGTCTAATATGACTGTGACCGTGCGTCACTGTCTGTCCATGTGTATATTTGTTCACATGCCTTCGATATATAGACAAAACCTGGGGAAATGATACATTTCACCATCGTGTTCCAAAATGGGATGAACGTGCACAGATCCACCAGCAAGTTATGACTTCGGCGTTTTCCCCTCATGTTAGGTGCAAATTTAGCAAACATATCCAACTTTTTCTGTTGTAAAAAAAAAAAAAAAAAGAAAAATAAAAATTATTATTGTTTAAACAGTAATAATGGACATGGATGCGCACAGTAACCCATCTAGTGGCTAAAAAAAATATTTATCAAAATTAGCTAACATAGCATAGGATTGAGATAAATAATAATTACCTGCTAGTTGCTGCCCTCGTTTCTCCCACAACCAATATCTCGGAGTTACATGAAATGTAGAACACACAGATGTAAACATAAAATATATACAATACATTATAAATATATATTACAACATGAAACCAGAAATATATTCAGCCATCATCAGTGGTTGAGACAACCTTCACCATCACCCTCCAAAAACAATCAGGAGACGCATCCTGAGCACTGATGAATGAAGGTTAAATTAATCATCGTTACCCTGCATCTTGCCTAACGTTACTAAGAACGTTATTTGCCAGCGAATGCTACCTCGTATGTGTTTCTCTCTTATGGATTAAACATTTTGGGGAGTGCTTCAGCATCCTGTGTGGGGTCACCAGCGCTGAATCCAAACCCAGAACAGGTACATAGTGTGCACGTTAGAGCCACCACAGTGTCCCACAGCACAGCTGGGTGTCTGCTTTGACTAACAAAGCTCCCACGAGGGGGAGGGGGGAGAAAGCCTGCGCTTGATGTTACGTAATCCTGTGCCGAGTCCTTCAACAAATTTTCCTTTAGGTGGCATCTCTCACCGGGCTGTATCCTATTGCATGGAGGACTGATGTGTTTTACTGATGGTTGTGTTGATGTTTGTTACCTGGATGTGAAGATGCTCTGTGTCGTTGTGTTGTATTGTGTGCTTATGCTACTTTTTTTTTTTTTTTAAATGACAGAATGGAACAAGTGCATGAGGCCAAGTGAGACCGGTGAAAAACAATCTCATTCTCTCTTTCCTTAGAGTAGTGCGAGTTTCCTGCTGGACGCTGTGTGTGTTCACTGTGTGTGTGAAGAGGAAAAGTGGGAAGGAAGGATGTACTGAGGAAACCTCCTTGCTCTGTTTATTTTCAAAGTTGTGTGAACGTATGAGAAGGAGAGCAGGCAGAGAAATGTGTGCGGGATGGGACGGGCAGGTAGAGCAGCTGCTTGACTTCTCGGTAAACTGGGCTGAGCTCTGTCCTGTTATATAATCGTGTGTGTGTGTGTGTGTGTGTGCGCGCATGTGGTATTTGCCTGGTGGAGCTGCTGCAGTGCTCCACCTCAGTCTGACCAGCCGGCGTCCCAGCAGGAACCCTGGATCTCTGCCTGGAGCCGATGTTTCTTAAGAAATACACTGCTATTAGGAACTCGTGGAGGAATTTCACTGCACTTGGGAACATTCAAGGATTTTACTGCATTTTTTTTAAAAAACATGCACTGGAATGTATGCAGCATTTTATAGGAATTTTTAATGCTTTGTTTTTTTAAAATATAGTTTTCATACAAATTTAACTTCTTAAAATGTCCTGTGCTAAATTTCCACCACATCTTTCCACACATTCAGGTTTTTTTATCCTACATTTTCAGCTGTAAAGAGTTGAACAGATGTACAGCTGAATAGTTTACGCTCAGCCGTTTTTTTTTGGTTTTGGACTTGTCGGTGCTTGTTAGCAGGTTGAAGTACTGTCTGGGATAAAAGGAGGTGTGTGCAGTGTGTGTGTGTATTCCAGTCTGGTCGACCCACTGTGGACTAGTCTGGGTAACACTGCGGAGCGACGGCAACATGTGGTTTTCTGTGGTGGGCCGGAGAGACCAGGTAACAGCACTTATACTCTATGGTCGTGTTACCTGGAAGGTTGTGTATTGTACTTCTGGAGGTTTCTTGATCATCTGCACTCTGGTGTGAATGAACTAAATATAAAAAGTGATTTGAAATGTGTGTGTATGCTTGTGCACATGCACCGCTTGATTGAGGGTGTGTGTGTGTGTGATGTTGACTCATTTCTTGAGAGGCAGGGTTCCTCAGTATCTCGTACTGTGATTCTCTGTCTCTGCCTTTAATCGAAGAACCTGTCGAGGATGCGTAACAAAGAAACTGGCAGCTGGTTGAATGCTGAGCATGTGGATGATGGTAACACTGTAGATTCACCGTGTACACAGGCCTTGTGTTACTTTCACTGTTTGCTTTCAGGGCCATTCTGCAAATCGTTAAACAAAGGTACACAGATGGGGAAAAACATGTGCTCACTTTGGGTAAGGTGCGCAGTAAGGCTAAGCCACCTGATTATATGTCCTCTATTTAAAGTCAGACACCTTCAGATTAGTGCGTGCATTTTACCTGTCACACAATTGGTTGTACTTTTAAGGCCTTAGCCTGAATTCTACAGAAATATGCTTAAATGATATTGTTATTCTGCAAATTCTGGTTTTAGAATAAGAGTAATGGATAGCAAAAAATAAATAAATAAATTTGACTGGCGTTTTGGAATTTCTGTTATGGTATTGGTGTCACAGTTAAGGAATAAAAAGCTCAGAATAATATTTAGTGAGAACATCTGTTTTAGAAAAGCAGCATTGCCACATAATAGTGGAACCAGGTTGTTAAAGCAGGTCCTGGTTGAGCTGTAGCACCATAGAAAACGTGATAAACTCTCAGCTTTCACACGTCACATTCATGTTGTTGAAGGTCTTTGTGGAAAATTGAGTGGAGGTGTTTGCTGCGTGTGTAAACAGATTTGTACGTTAAAAAAATACTACATCAGTCAGCCCCTTGTGTGTGTTTCATGGTATTGTGTTTCTTTCCTCAGTGTCATCTCCCAGCTGGAGCTGAGGAAATGCTGCCCTCGCCCCTGTTGGTGTGTTGAGTCATTTATCAGTTTCAGTGAAGGACTGAACGTTCCCTCTGCACACACCTTAAACAACAAGTTAACAGAATGTTGCAATCTGGGATTCTCACAGCCATTTATTCAAGAGACTGTGGAGGGTATTTGTGTGCAGTTTTTGTTTTTGTTTTCCCTTTGATTAACATGGAGTTCTGCTTGGTGGATTGTTGAGTTCTGTGCAGAGTTGACCACAGAAACCTAATGACTTGTAAAAGTCTGGATTCAGAGTTCTACACCTGGTGTGTACACCGGTACATCAGTGTTGAATTTTAAGGAGAGTCTGGGGCAGTCTTGAACTGAAGTACCAGAACATGAGTTACTTGGTTTGAGAAGGTTCTCATCCTGCAAAACGACAATGAAGTCTAAACTCAAAAAGCTGCATTTTGTTCTGTTTGTTTCCACAGTGTGTTTGAAGTATTGGTAGGGTGCATATGTGTCGGCTGATGCTGCCGAAATAAGCTACAAATGAAACAATAGTATGAGAGGGTTACCCCCTCTCAGGGCGGGAACAATGGGAGGAAGTAACACACACACACACACATGCTCACTTTCCTGTAAAGCTGCAGCCATGCAGGAGGTGTTTACAAGGTGTGTGGAGGAGGACGTTTGTACCACTTGGCGCTCATTGTAAAGACCACAGTGTATCTGTGGTAGAAGCGCATCCTGTCCACTTTCTTTCCAGCCAGGCAGAAAGGCATGAAGGTGTAACCCTCTGCTTTGTGCTTCAGTGTGAGGGAGGTCGACTTCTTAAACTCACTACAAGCAGCAATAGGGTGGGTGAAGCAGCACTCTCATTTTCATTTTACATCATCAGCACAAATAGATTTCTCATATGAGAAAATGTATGTGGGCAGTTTTTCCCATTTGTGCTGGAGGTTCAAATGTGTGAACGGGTGTCGTCGTTGCTCCCGAGCTCACTGTTCATGAGAATGCAATAAGAGGCATTCTGGGACATCATATGAAAACTTCATATATTGACCAGACTGACTGTGGTAGATTGATTACTACTAAATGCACATACACAACTCAAGTAGTAGCAATTACTGGTGTAAATGTATTTGAGGTACTGCCAAACCAGTATGTGACTGCATTTTCTCTGAATGCTATCCCCCAGCTTTGTTTAAAGGACATGCACCATCCTGGTGTCAGTTATTTTAGTGCCAACTGAAAATGAGTACATGTAAACTTTCCTAACTAAAAGCCCTGCACACACAGTTGTCTTTTAGCTGATCACACATCCCCTCAGGTTCAAATTGTGCATGCTTACATGCTGCAGATTTGCTGAAGTCATACAACTGCATTTACTTAAAAATGGTCCTATAGAAACAGGTGCACCAAGCTTCAAGTCTGTACATGCTCTGAGTACTGAGAAGTTATAAAATCCTCTAGAGCAACAGAAACCTGCTGTGTGGGTGTACAGGGCCTTTGAACCTCAAAGGCTCCAAGCAATTAGGTTGCCATGTATCAACACTATAAGCTGTAATACAGATGTGCTGCCAGCCTGTGTTAGCGTTGTTGGATTTTATCAGTGTGGTACAGCTGGCGGTTCTCGGCTCTGTGCATCTGCTCTACATTTCTGTACATTAGTTTCTTAGAATGAGTCAGATGCAAAAAAGGCTAAAGAGAAAAATTCATATCACTCTTGACTCTGATGTCCAGACAAAACACTGGAGGATATGTTGTTATATATCATTTATTTACATGAACTGTTCCTCAGAGTTTCCCACTTGTTTAGAGTTAAATCTCACATAGTTATTAACTTTTAAAACTACATTACAGCTGACCCCATTTGGGGTTCAGTGTGTTTCAACATGCCCGTGTCTTTAAGTTTACCTACATACTAGTCTGTGACCTCGTGTTTTAATTACTGACTACATGTAGAGAATTGCGTTTTGAGTGTGATGTTTGATACAAATATAAAAATAAGAGCTGAGTGAAAGCACGCCATTGTCTAGGTGCTGGTCATGGCAATGTGCTATATCAGCATCACACTGAGCTTCCATAATTTATCGGTATAACTAATGTTTCAACCACAGCTGGTGCAGCTGTGGAAGTGTGGCGTGCAGGCTTCTGTGATAGTTTTATAGGAGACCCATACAGACTTGGAACGGCACCAACCACGCATCTGCAGCTTCTCTCGGTTTTACCGAGCTTTATACTAAGTGCTCATTGTTTAGCTGCCCGACCCATAACTCCACTGTCGCTGCTTCATTTTCAGATGCAGAAGGCGGCTGTTTTCATTGAAATAAAAAATAGCTCTAAACTCTGAAATAACACATTCACTACCAAATCAAGACATCTCAGTTTCTGTACCTTAACTACCTGTTCTGCCTTTAATGTCTCCAGTGCAGTGTTGTTCTCAGAATGGCTAATTGAGTTTAGATTGGTTTGATCCATTTCAAGTTATTTCTACACACAGGAAGTAGCATTGTACTTGCCATTAAAGGGCATGTTATACTGAATTCTGCTTTACAAATCAAGCAGCTGAAACCTTTTATTTAATGTAAAGCTTATGTACAGGATAACTTATGCTAGAAGTTGTGGCCCCTCTGGGACCTCTAACTTACTAAAGTCCTCGGGGGATTCAGGGAATTTCCTCACTCCCCATTCTGTACATGAAGCCGTGGCACCATCTGAGACAGAGGCCCTTTAACGGTGTCTGTAATGTACAACAGACATAAACCAGTCAGAATGATTCACTGTCCTCTCAACTTAATGTCACTCACAGGAAATAAGTTCCTGCCTGAATCCAGCCTCAGTATTAAACACACACACACACACACACAGACAGAACTGAAACAACGAGGGTCAGATACTTGATGTATGATGCTGTTGCTGTCTTTTTGTACTGCGGAAAATGGGACACAGATCTGTGGTTGATGGGAGTACATGGCAAATGCAGAATGAGTCTCTATTCACTCAGTCCACATAGTTAATAAATAGAAAAAAGATAAGTAGAAAACTTGACAGTTGGTCTTTAGTTGAAAAAGCAACAGAAAGATCATTTTTGTATAAAAAAAAAAGAAGTGATCAGTTTGAACCTGGGTTTCTGTGTTGGCACTCATTCAAAAGTTGTTTCCAAAGAGCCGTTAACAGGCAGCGTGGATGATTGAAATGCTGAGGGAGTACGAAGAGGTGCTTATTATGGGCCGGAGCAGTTGAAGTAGAAACTGCTCAGCATTTGTCCTACAAACTGTATTTTTAACATCCAATTACCACTTTAAATTTACAAAAACATTTCCAACGTTGTTCCAGTCAGATTAAAGTACCAACATTGTGCTATCTGTTCCCTGCACATTACTGTCCTCTCATCATTTGTGCTTCTCCACCACAGCTGTTTCTAAATGCGAGCTGCAGACAGTAAGAGCTTTTAACCTGGGTGTCACCCCGGCCTCCGTTTTACAAGATGTAGCGTCACTCAGTCGGGACTTGTTTCAATCCACTCCACAGTTTATGAGAGGGTTTGTAGACGTGCTGTGATTCTTGGTGTCTAGTCTGTGTGGCATCTGAACCTGTCCTGTGATGTAGTCTGTTGACCACTCGGCCTTGAACCTGTTTTGAAAGTAAACAAAACATGTCTCCCTTTTTTTTTTTTGTGTCAGCGGCTTTGGATGCAGTCTTTTTGTTTGCTCTTTGTGTTGTCAGAGGAAGGCTACAAAGGAAAATTTCCAACTTGTCTTCACTTAAAGCAAACCAAAGAATGTGTGGTTAAGTGAAAATCTGCTTTCATATTTAGTGCAGTGTAGTGTGTTTACAAAGGAAGATTTCTGAAATATTTCTACTGGTGCGCTGTTGGATAAACATGTCAAGATGGTAAAGAAAGTATTTGATGCCTCTGATAACTTGCCAGTGTTTTGCTCCATTGTAAACCACCTCCTCACTTGATGGGAAACCCACACACACAGCTCGAGCGTGTATGTGTTGTGTGTATTGACACTGACATTGCAGCTTGTTTGTTCTCCCTTTTTTGTATGCACTTTTCTTCTTAGTTGTGCTGTTGTTACTTGGCAAAGAAAGGATTTGGTTTAAAGAAAACATTAGGACACAAACTATGATCTCCGGTGTTTCAGCAGTAAACAGTGATGCAACAAGGAAAATATGAATTTAAACAAGGGAAGAGAACATAAAATGTTTGGTTTTTTTTGTCCTGCTGGGGATGAATAAAGTTACTGAACTATTTTAACAACAGTTTGCTAGTGTAGGTTAACATGCCTGTGTGTTGTCTTCTGTCTCTCTGCAGGGTGCTGGTCAGGAGAAGCTTGGCATCTACATCAAGTCTGTTGTCAAAGGAGGAGCAGCTGACATGGTTGGTACAGTATAAACATTAAAACTGGAACCATGACAGAAGAGGACAAGCATACACTGTGACTCATTCTGCTGTGTGTGTGTGTGTGTGTGTGTGTGTGTGCGTGTGCGCGCACAGGACGGGCGTTTGGCTGCAGGTGACCAGCTGCTGAGCGTGGACGGCCGCAGTCTGGTCGGCTTGTCACAGGAGAGGTAACAGCAGCGGCCCGGTTATTGTCATTAATGACTCTTAAAGACTTGAGTGGCCAGAAACTCCTATAATGTGATGTCAGTGAATTTGCACTTTGGAAATGGGTGTGTGTTCAACCACCTACCACACACTGCTGACGCATTCGTGGCCACATGATGATGAAACTCGGTTTTATTTCTATTTTGAGAATTGAAAACATTTGAAGAGGAAGTAATCGAGCTGATGTGACATCAGATAACCACATGTGGGAAACCTCAGGGTTGAGACATCCTGAGGTTTTTGCGCTGAGGCAGTTTGATCCCATTTGTTTTTATAAAAAGGCAGAAGCGTGTCTCAAACACACAGCACAAGGAGAAAAGGGCTGTGTTTTTAGGAGTTTCTTGTTGTGCTCTGTTTCTTCAGCAGGTGTGTGATTTAATTACTCTTTCTGGTACTGTTGGTTTTGATACACATATCGAGTATCGACCTCATGCCGCACACACAACAGAGAATCGGAGCTCACAGTCGGGTTTGCTTTTGTTGTCGTCACTTATCTTAAAATATCCCCAAAACCACTCGGCTCGGCCAGTGTGAGGTTAATGTGGGACAACATCTATGAGTACGAGTAGAGGGTGGCATCAGACCCGATACTGGTATCAGCATTGGTGCATCCTTAAGAGAAACCCCATGATATTTCCAAATGTGGATTTGCTCAGCATCAGGCGGTTGAGTTCCAACCAGTCAAACACACATGGCTCATTACCTCATGCATTCTGCCCTTCCACTATTTATGGGTTTTGGTTAAAGCCCTGTGCAAACAGGCATATGTGGCTGTTACCGAAAATAACATGGATTGTTTTGTTATGTGTGACACATCAAGATTGTATCCAAATCAGAGAGAAGTGTGTGTCTGGCACTGAATCCTCTGGTTCATAACGTTTACTGTTCTGCCTGTTGAGATTCCAGGAGACAGAAGCTTTTACTACTGCGTTCACATAATGACCAAAAGTCCTGGTATTTATCAGTAATGTGTTCATAGAAAACATCTGCTGAAACAATTAGTTGATCAACTAAAAATAACCTTATTTTAACTTATTTTATCTGCCAGTTATTCACAATGCTCATTCACAGAGTTCTCTGTTTTATGTCATTATATAATTAACGGTCTTTGAGCTTTAGACTGTCGGTCAGACAAAATAAGCAATTTGAAGACCTCACCTTGGACTCTGCGACATTGTGATAAACATTTCCCACTATTTTTTTTTTGCAATTTCTTTTTAAACAACATTCAACTGATGGAGCAAGGAAATAAGATTAATCGATTTAATTGAATTGCAGTTAACTGATAAGTGTGTCAGAGTAAAGTGGTGTTACAAGTTCATAATCATGTTCTCTCTCTCTCTCTCTCTCTGTTCAGGGCAGCTGAGCTGATGACGAGGACGGGCTCAGTTGTGACTCTGGAGGTCGCCAAGCAGGGAGCCATTTACCACGGACTGTCTACCCTCCTCAACCAGCCGAGCCCCATGATGCAAAGAGGTGAGCACATACACATAAAGGAGCTACCTGCTCTGGTACAATGTTTGCTTTAGTGTCTACTGTAGTAGTATCCCCTGGAATAAAGTTTTTTATTAGGGTTCCTTTGAGTCCTTGACAAATCTGACAATATAGTACAAGAATATAGTACAGTGTGTTCATGGTTCTGTTTTTATTACAATGTTTTTATCTGTCTTTCCTTCAGGTAAGTGATCCTTAAATGATCATTTGTACAGTTTAACAATGGTCGATTATTGGAATATTTGATGGGCAGAAAATTATTTTGCTAATGAAGCAGTGATTTTTGGTAACTTGTCAAACAAATCTCTGGTTTCAGCTTCTCCGATGTGAGAATTTACTGATTCAGTTGTGAAGTTGTGCTTTTTAAAAAAAAAAAATGAATGTGCACTTTTGCTACTTCAGGCTATTTTAAAGACCAAACAGTTTTTCCGTTGTTACTTGCAGTCCTAATAATTTCCTTTTGTTGCATGGCCACTTTTAGTGCAGAACAACACAATTTTTTCTAAATACATCTTCACTGATTGTTCTTGAACAATTACAAAGTCTTAAATTAAAAGCCATTCAAGACATTCACACACAGTCATGCATTTAACTTGAGATTTCGGTTGAATGGACTTCCTGTTAAGTGATCTGGTGTCATGGCTGATGGAAGAGAAGCAGACTTGTCCAGACACTGTGTCTTTGTTGTCTTCTCTGTAGCACAGTAAAGCAGACTAAAGGATATAATGAGTGTTTGTGGCCAGCACCAGTTATGTCTTTGTGTGTGTCTGCGCATGTAGAGCTGCACAGAGTTTACCGGGTTGTCTGGCTGTGTGCTGATCTTTGTCTGCTGGAATGTGACCCTAGATTCATTAAGGAAGTCTTCTGGCCAGGCCAGTCTGTGGTCCAGGATGACGCCACAGGATTGTTTCTCCCCAGCTCCCTCCTCAACCACAGTGTGTTTTCCAGTGCAGATAGTGAAGTTCAACACCAGGCAACGAAGGGTGCTGGTCATTATGTAGTCAAATGTCTGTTAGTAAACTAAACAAGACCGTGAGTCAGTTCTCACCGACTGAGGGTGTGACCAGAGGAAGCCACACGAGAAAGTGGTTCACTCAAGACTCCAGTTAATATTCAGATATTAACTGGGGGACTTAGAGGTTAACCCTTTTAACTCAGGTTTTTCTCTCCCCTACACCCCAGCATCAGACCGAGGCCGTGAGAAGAATGGGAAAATGCGACCTAAGAGTGAAGGATTTGAGTTGTACAACAACTCTGTGCCGAACGGCTCTCCGGAGGGTCCCCAGGCTGGCTGGGACTCTTACCCTGAACCAAAGAAGATGAGCAGTGAAGATCGACTTCTCAAGAACCGAGTCGACCATCGCTCAAGCCCCAATGTAGCCAGTAAGCCCACCATGTTGTTTTCATTCATTTAACCTACATGAATTTGTCTAGCCTATGTTCTACCTACACCCCTCAAACACTGTGCACGGTTCCGGCATGAAAACAGTTTAAATCCATCCATTATCTATACCGCTAATCCTGAAGATGGTCACGGGGGGCGGGAGCCGAGCCAGTCCCAGCTGACATTGGGCGAGAGGCGCGGTCCACCCTACGCTGTAAATCCAGCTTTTATTATCATGATATCCAGTTTAATTTATTAGTTTAATCCTGTGTTGGAACATTGGCCTGTTGTTACCTTAGTTTGAAAAAGAAGTTTTTTTTTATCAGTGTTAGAGGAAATATTCATATTTCTTTATGTCACTAAACTGTTTAGAGAGTATATTAACCTCTAGAGTCCTGAGCTTTGGAAACCCAAGCTGTGCGGTCCTCATATGAGGACGCAGGGACTCTAGAGGTTAAGCTGATGCCGAGATGACTCCAATAGACACTGATGAGATCAAAACAGTGGAACATACCCATAGTAAACAAGTCAGTGTTACGCTTGGCTTGGGCAGTAATGGAAAAAAAAAAAAAAAAAAAACCTACACTGGTGTGTTATTCTTTAACTCCACCCAGGTATGAAAACAAAGCTCCAGAGTAGTGTTGGGCAATAACAGCGTGGCTATAAAAGCTTTTGACTGATGTTGTAAATTGTACCACATGGTCCCTTCTTACAAATAATCTCAACCCGCCTTCAGTAACCATTTGGGATCATTTATGATTTTCTGATTACTCCTTCGCGCCCTCAGTTAATGGCTTAATACTGGATATCGCTTCACGTGTGCATGAAAACTTCTAACTGCACTAAAATAATTCTCCCTCTTACCCCTTCTTCAGATCAGGGCCAGAGTCCTGCAGGCAAAGCGGTGTACCCTGGAGGACCTGGCACCAAGATCACCTCTGTCTCCACCGGCAACCTGTGTGCTGACGTAAGTCACTGTACCACTGGAGCCAGTGGCATCTGAGTGAGGAATGTTCCAGCACACTGGAAGACAGCAGAGAAACAAATTGCACTCACACACAGTGTCTAGACTGAAGATGAGAAATCATTTACTTAGTTAATTTTTGGTTGTATTCATCAGGATGAACCCTCCCCTTCCCACCCAGAGGCTTACCCCATCCCTACACAGACCTACTCCAGGGAGTACTTCACCATCCCAGCCTCTAAGAGCCAGGATCGGGTAGTTGGTCTCGGGCAGGGGCCCTCGCAGCACTGGCAGGGCATGGAGGACAGAGAACGCCTCCCGGTGGTGGACAACATCCACAACAACAACATGCAGGTAGAGACACACGAGCAACTGCTGTAACATTCCCTGCCATGCTTGTTCCTCCTTTTCTCTATCTTTAGCTCCTTTTTTCTTCCACCTCCTT